ACATACACTCATAACCCTCCATCCAAGAATACCCCAAAAATTAAGCTTAATCTTTCTTCTTGGATAATCTCTCTATTTTTCTCTCTCACAAGTGCTCGCACTCTCTCTATTCTTCTTGTTGGTATGTTTAAATGAATTTCGTCTGACTCTTTTTATAGACGGTTCAGTGAATGAGTCGTCGTCTTCATACTTTGTCAAAAAGAAATAGCCAACTTTTCTTTTTTTTTTCAAATAACAAGTTTTCCTTTTTTTTCTTTCTTTTGCACATGTGGGTCCCATTTAAATGGGCACACCACAACCAACTTTGACAAAAGCGTGAAATACAAATGCAGTTGGGAGTGTTGAGGGCCTTTGAAGTTGCCCACTTGGAGTTCCAATGACTATAATAATAAAACACCCTTCATAGCAGTTGGACCCTAATTTTGTCTCTTCCTCTCAGTCATGTTCTTCTCACGATTCACAACCAAGTGTAGGGTGAAGGTGTAGTTCAATTTAAGACCAAAATTAACAACATCGCAACCTTCTAAGCTTTTCAATTTTGCAAGTAATTACATCTTTCATATTGCTTTTGTGATAACTAAGCTTTTCGTAGCAAATTAGGGTTATGTTCATAGATATTCGACTAGGTTTTGATATTCCAGTGTGCCGTTATGAAGAAACTGTAATCTTAAAACATTCATATACAGAGACTAATCCTGAGAGGAAGCTTTTTGGATGTAGGAAACATGGGTAAAGTTTGAGGGATTCTGTAATGCTAAATTTATTTATTTATTTATTTATTTTTTGTAACTAACGAAGGATGGTATATTGTCCTTGTAGAATAGTTGGAGCTCGTAATTATTTTCAGTGGCATGATGCACCGTTGCCTGAGCATATTCAGCACATAATCATTGGATTAGTGAGGAAGATTAAATAAGTGGATGAAGAAAAGATAAAAAAAAAAAAAAAGAAGAAGAAAGGAAGGCCATTGCTGTAGAATTGTATATGCAGTTGTCTGTGTTGTGCTTGAGGTAGCTTTTAGAGAATTGTTTATTCCTTTGGCCCCCAAAATATGCAGTTGTCTGTGTTGTGCTTGAGGTAGCTTTTAGAGAATTGTTTATTCCTTTGGCCCCCAAAATAGGGCTTTGAATGCATGCATTGGGGGGTTTTTGAAGCAGGGTCATTGTAAAGGGTTCCTTTGGTGTAGGCTTGGTAGTTTGCCTCTTATAGCAGTTGCTCCGACCTTTTTCACTTTTTCTTTCAATTCACTTTTTACTCTTTATTTAGCTTTTAATTTTTTGCTCGCTTTTAATCAAATCAGATCTATTATAAACTCATATCTATTATAAAAAAATGGATATGTTTTTTCTTTGCTTTTATTATTATTAATATTGCTTTATCTCATATTTGGAGTTTTTTTTCCTTCTATATAAGGGTTTGGTCGCTTCTAAATAAAATATGATATTTAATTGGAGGCTTTAACGATCTGTTTAGAAAAGAAAAGAAATGAAAATAATGAAAGAATCAAAATAATAATGAATTGTTAATTTTTTTTTCCATTGTTATTTTCCACCATTGTGTTTGGATAATGAAGAAAAGAAAATAAATTTATTTTCCTTTATTTATAAAATGCAAAATTTTAGATTAAAAAATTGTTAATAATGATATCTTATCATTTTAACATCATTTATCCTTTTAGAGGACTTTGACGATCATATAACTTAAATATCTTCAATATCTAGTTAAAAGTAGTTTGGATGTGTGAACAATTATGTAAAAATTGGAGAAACTTCAATATTGCACCATTATTTTCTGTCCTCCAAATGGAGAGATCCTATCTATGTAAATTGATTTTTACTTCCTTCATTATTTTTCCTTCTTTTCCAAACAAGGTAAATTTGCTTTCCATAATTATTTTCCTCAGCTATTTTGATTCCTTCAAAAAAATACCTTCATCCAAACAAATTGTAAATCTTGATTTGTGGATGTGGATCTTCGATCAATGGAGCCTATTAGTTTGGTATATTCCTCTATTAATGTTTTTTACTCATACTGGCATGAGCTCATCTGTATGCATTTGATATGTTGCAAATACTTAGAAAAACAATCCAAGTATAAAAGATCCAGAAAATTATTATTTTGTCATCTAAATAAATTAAAGGACCAGTTGTTGCTATGAATATTTATATATTTTGCCAAGACCATCTCTAAGTGGAATGATCAAATATTATCTCTTTTGTTTTTAACTTCATTGTTCAAATTAGTTGTAATTTCGAATTTTGCGCATGGATATTTACATATCATTTGATAATTATTTTTATTGAATTATTTTTAAGTTTTTAATTTACAATTTTGCATTGAAATTTTTTTATTAATGACAAATAATTAGCCCTTATATTTAGTCATAAATCGATGAATATTTGAAATTTTAAAAATATTGATTTTATTTTTTATATCTAAATTTAACTTAATAGGAATAATTGATGTTTTTTTACAATAATTTAGATACATTATGCATCTAAATTTGAAATATTTATTACAAATTTGAATGAGTTGAAGGATAAATCTACAATAAAAGAATTTGAGATTTCTCTACTGATACATACCTCTTCTTTCATTATTGGATTTAAAACATTAAATTGTATTATATATAATTCTAGTTTTTACGTAATCAAGATAAAACTGTTAACTTGAAATCGCCTTTTAATTTATAATGTCTAATTTTTAACTTTTGTTTAATTTAAAATGTCAAATCACATAATTCCATACACATTAAATTTAACTTGAAATCTTGCTTTTTCACAAATTCTTTTTCATATTTTTTTATAAATAAAATATTATATTATTTACTTATAGAATCTTAAATAAAATATATTATTTACTTATAGAATCTTAAATAAAATTTATTTAGTTTTAGAATTTTTGATTTAAGTTTAAAACTTAATAAGTCTATATTGTATAAATTTCAAAAACATTAATTTATAAATTGGAATCTAAATTTTGTACTTAATATATTTTTACACATTTCTTAAGTGAAACTTTTATATTATTTATGTCCATAGTAATTATTATTGTTATTTAATTTATAAATTTTGATATTCTAATTCACTTATCATTGAAATTTTCACATCAGACCTTTTATATTTTAAATATTTTTATGTGTTGTATAATTGATTTTTTATATATATATAATTTAACACAATATAGCAATAGAGGGCATTGGGCCCCAATGTTGCACATAAAATTTTACACCTGAATATAAGTTACAACCCAAGTACATAAAATTAATTTTGCCTTGGTCTTTTCATTTTCCTTTTTAGATCTTATTGCTCTCACTCTCTCCATGCAACCGCCGGTTGCTTCTGAGCAAATGCAATGCTTTTCCCAATGCTGGCCTTCAGTTCAGGCTTTAGATTTTTCAGTGCCTTCTGCTCATACTCTGTGAAACCTTAGAGGTCGGATGAAATGATAGCTTCGACCCTCTTCCTTCCAAGTTTTACTCTTGATGCAAATGATGGAAGATCAATGAGATCTGACTGCACAAAAAAGCACTCATAAACATCACCATCTCCATCGACTGCATGGAGAGAAGACTTGACAAATTTGACTGCTGCATGTGCAGTGTCAGGGTGGTAGACACATAAACACTGTGTCAAGGACTTCTGTATCAATAGAGAATTTATCTATTCTCCCAGTAGTAAAAGCCAGGTTTTAAATAGAAAATTATAAAAATTTTATTAATTTATTTACTAAAATTTTATATAAATCAGAAAAATTAAGCAAAAACTATAAAGAGATAGCTAAATAAATATGTATACTGCGACAAAAACTGGAATCGAAAGAAATTCACTTGCTATGGAAATAATGATCTGACTTGATAGGAAGTACACCAGCCAGTAGAGGTTTCTAAACGAAAATAATAAATGAATACACAAATAGATTAAGCAAATCCATTAAAGAAAAAATATTATGGAGAGGAAAAAATACCATCACTTGTGTTGAAATAAAATGTCAATACTTTCGCAGTTCTGCAACAATTAATTATTTACATTCAATAAGATAAATTGTCAGATTAAGAATCGAAAAAAATAATATTTGCCTTGCACGGTAAAGGAAAAAATATCATGTTCACAACTATATAATTATAATACCTTCTCCGGCCTTCATGCAAGAGACACATAGCACGAATAAAGAAAGAGAAAAAAAAAGTCTTGGTGCTAGCTAGAGACACAGAGCACGAATAAAGAAAGAGAGGGAAAAAAAAAAAAAAGGAAGCATAGATAAATATTATCAGGTCTCTGTCTCTGAAAATCATGAATATCTAATCAAATAGAATTATAGATAGACATAAAAACCGGATAGTTATAAAAGATCTAATGTTTAGGATATATAATTATAATTATATTTAGATAATCAACAATTTAAATAATTGAATATGGATAACTCATAGCAAAAATAATAATTAAAATGCTTAAGTCGTACAATCACAGATGTAGAAAATAAAAAAAAAACTTAAAAATTTATAAAAAAAAGAAAAATAAAATGTTGGACAAAGAGAATGCCTTCAGATTTCTCTTTGTTTCAGTTTTCATACACATATATATATAAATAAAGAATATAAACAATTGATTTATTTTATCAAAAGAATCTATTAGCTTGTAATACTCAATATTAATGAATTATATTATCTAAAAAAATAATATATATTTATTTTTTTAATTTAAAATATTTTCAATTGGCCATAAAGATAATGTAATATATTTTTGATTTTATTAAATAGATTTTTGCCAATCTTATTATCCCTATTCTCATGTATATATAGATTTTTTTTAAAAAAAAAGAAAAAGATTCCTTAAAATAATTTTCTCTGTGCTAAATATATATTATTATTAATTTATTATATTGAGCAGAGTACATACAGTTAAAAGAAACTGAACTGGGCTGGACTATTGTTTTTTATTTATAATTTTGAACAAAGCCCAATTTGTTTTTCAGCAAAGAACAAACAGAAGAATCGAAAGTTACAATCTTTATCTCTCTTTCTTCCTCCTGTTTCGTCGTCAACTGAGAGAGAGAGAGAGACACAGAGGCACAGAGCTTGAGTTGAATCTTGACAACTCATACTGAACCAAAAGCAAGATCCACTCTCAATTTCTCTTTCATTTCCAGTAACTCAAACCCTTAAAACCAACAGATCTATCCTAAATTCCACAAATTACAACCGTACCATGTCCTGCTTAGCCCTTTCTCTCCAACCCGCTAATGGATCCGACATCCTGCTCCAGACCCGAGAATGGTTCCCACCTGCCCGTGCCCTAGTTGCCACCTCCGCCTTCCGTAAAACCCGATTAGCATTCGCTGCCACCAAACATAATTCTAATAATCCTAACAATCCTAACCACCTCTCAGATGACTCTGCCGCCGAATCTATCGGCGATGATCCCCTTGCCGCTTCTAGTGGTCAACTTATTGTCGGCGTTGAGAGCCGGTACCGTGTTGTTTATCGTCTAGTCAACGGAATCTACGTTCTTGGTATCACCACCGCCGATCATGATAATTCAATTAATGTATTTGAGTGCATTCATATTGTTAACCAAGCCGTTAGTGTTATCGTTACTGCTTGCCGTGGCGTGGATGTTACGCCTGAGAAGCTGAATAGGAAATACGCTGAGATCTATATGGCTTTGGATATTGTATTGCGTGGTGTGAGTAATATTAGGCTTGCGGCTATGTTAGCTTCTATGCACGGCGATGGTATTGCTAAGATGGTACATTCTGCTTTAGATACAGAGAATAAAATTAGAGGCGCTGATAGTTGGCCTGGAGTGGAAGTGCACGCTGTTGAGCATCAGTCCAGTATTGAGGCGTTTTCGAATGCGACATTTGAATTGCCGCCTGAGACAATTGCGGCAGGAGATGAGGTTGCGGCAAGTCTGGCACCTGTTGTTATTGAGGCGCAAGATCAGAAGCAAGAGAAACAGGAGGAGGCTGAGGCACCAAAGGATCCGTTTGCGGCGAGTGATTCGATCAATAAGCAGGAAGACTTGGTGAGTGATTTTAAGAAAGATAAGAATCAGTCTTTAGATTTACAAGTTGCGTTGGCGGGGTTGGAGGTGACTACATTGCCACCTGCAGAGGCAACACAAGCTACACATATAAGTGTGGAGGGATTTGAAGGGGATTATGGTGGTATTGAGTTTAGTCATGAGCAGGCTTCTTTGGGAGAAACTTTTGAAGGGTTTAGTGATGCTTGGGGTGGTGGATTGGATGCATCAGAATTCGTGGGACCAAAGAAAATTCCGAAACAACAAGGTCTTGGTGGCCTTGAGTTGCTGCAAACTGGAGACAGTGGTGCGGCTGCAGCTGCTAAGTCTACTAGCGGAGCTGCAGGTACTCCTCTTGAAAATCTCTTGGTTCAGAAAACTGAAATGAAGGGTCCAGAAATGTACATTGTGGAAGAAATTAACGCAGAGTTTAGGGAGTCATTGCTTGCTAGAGTTGGGCTAATGGGTGTGGTTTATTTGAGAACACTGCCACCAAAAACTGCCGGTGATAAAGAAACTGAATTTTCATTTCGGGTTGATAACACAAGTGCAGTTAAAAGATTTGTTATGCAGAATTCAAAGGTTAGTAGCATTGGTAATGGGATGTTTCATGTGAGAACTGCACCATCGGATGAGCCTTTACCAATATTGAAGTATAGTCTGCTTCCTAGGTTAACCCCATTGCCATTGAGAGTTCGTCTTGTACAAAGGCGTAGTGGGACTTTACTTTCCATGATGATCCAGTATGTCTCTAACCCGGATTTGCTAGTGCCTCTGAGTGATGTAACATTTATTTTGAAATTACCAGTTGATCCAACATTGTTGAAGGTTTCCCCTAAAGCTGTGTTGAATAGGAGTGAGAGAGAATTGAAATGGCATGTGCCAGAGATTCCACTAAAAGGTTCTCCTGGTCGGTTGAGGGCAAGGATTCCTGTTGATTTTAGTGAGGGAGAGGGTGATGAAGATATTGAGGCTTTTGGTTACGTTAATTTTTCCATGCAAGGGACTACCACATTATCTGGAATATGTTTACGGCCTGCTTCTGAGGGTAAGACAGACTTTTATGAGGTTAGTCACAAATATCATAGTGGGGTTTATACGTGCAATTGACAAATAAGATGACCCCATTGCCTGCTTACAGATTGTTGTGCTTTGATCTCTGTTCTTTTTCTGTTATAATGAGGTTTTGTATTTCTGAGTGCTTGTAGAATTCTTTGATATTTGAGCTTGTTAGATTGAGATTTATGTGAAAACTTTGTGGCCATATGTTATGAGCTCGGATTCCTCTCAATGAACAATAGATTTTTTGTTCTTTATGTGCCCAATTTTTATTTTATGAACTCCAATATAACTACAGAATAATGGCCTACTATCATTTGATTTCAAATATAGATGTAGCCCAGATAACTAGCAAACAAATGAATTGTGCCTTCTGCCCTTCCCCCTTTTCAGATAGAGCAAAATGTGCAAATGATCTTTTCTCAATTGCTGGACTTGTTTAATAGCAAGATTTACTGGCTACTTGCTGAGCAACTTATTAAGTTGGTAACAAAATATATGCTTGTTCATCAGTGAGAGAATTAGATGCTTTTTGTAAAATGAGAAAATATTAAGGGAGTAGTTATAGAAGCCGGTGTTCAAATTTGTTTGTTACAGATATTAAAAGCCATTCTGGGGGCTCACTTGCTAGCATAACCTAATTTCAGCACAAGGTAGTGGTGGACCTATTCTTGTGTATGCTTCGAACCGCTTTGCTTTATCCAGCTAATCCATGTGTCATATTGATAATAGAACACATTCTTTGCTAAGCTGCGAGCTTGAGTTCTTAATGGTATGGTTCTCTGAAATTATTAAAGAGATAGCATTCATGAAACTGGCACAGAACTGGATATAATTGTGACTGAATAGGGATTCTGTAACCCTAATTTGTCAAACACACATTTTCTCTATGGTTTCTTTCTGATGTCTTGTAGAAAATCTGTGTCGTGATAGAGCAATGAGGATGCTTCATGTGCAAGAAGTTACAAGTGTTATTCACGATATGAGATACATTGTGGAGAAAAATTTAAAGCATGTACTGGGCCATTTAGTTTTAACAAATTTTTATAATTGGAATTACCTTTGTCCATCTAATTCTCCACTGTAAATCATATCTTCAATCGTCACCATCATCTCATTTGAAATTCACTATATACTGCTACTGTTTATCTATTTGTCTTTATTAATTTCTCACTATTATTCCATAGAATGGATGTCTTAGTTAAACGTATCATATGTCGGAGTAAGACATTCTATGAAATCTAGCTCTTTTATCTATGTATAATTTTTGAGAAGTATAAATCTAGTTCTTTTTCACATTTCAAAATTAGTTAATAATGAAAAATTGTAAAAGTTTGAACCTCTGCCATTTTCATGTCATTGATTTCAAAGAAGTTTCTGTCGGTCCCTGCTGAATATGGATACTAACCAGGTTTGAAATGTATATGCTGTGCTGGAACACAGAGTTTTATGGGAATGACCTAAGAATAGCTCCTCCTTTTTAAAGTTACTTGGTTTGCTTGAAATACCTGTATATTACAGTGCTGAGGTTGACCTTCCAGGCTCTAGTTTTAAGTTCTTTTTTTGTTTCCTTTTTCTTTTTGCATATTTTGATGGTGTGGCCTAGAAGCCCATAAAGCTAGTATGGGGCATGGAAAGGGCCTTAGGTTTGGATGGCAGTGAATGTGCAGAGTCCCTTATTATATTGGGACTCTGCATATTTTGATGGTGTGCCTAGACCCCCATAAAGCCTCTAGTGCGAGGTTTCCTACAAGGAGAAATCATGTGGCACAAAATGCCCTAAGGTCTTGGATTCGGCCATGAATGTCCAGAGTCCCTTATTCGGATCCTAGTGAAGTTTTTGTCCTGAGTAATACTATGGGAGACCGTTAGTTGGAGCTACGGGGTTGATGTGCCAAATAGCATGCAAATGTCCTCAACTTGAGGCTTGCTATGAGGGGAAATTATGTGGGATGCAATGCCCTAAGGCCTTAGGTTCGGATGGTAGTGAAGGTGTTGTCCTGAGTAATACTTTGTTAGACATTGGACCGTCACTGGCTTAGATCATGGGGACATCTAGCAGCCACATGGGACCAAGGGTTGCAAGACCCTAGCCCTGTGACAGATGACACATGCACGCACAACCCTATGCCTACTTCTGGAATTCTTTATCCAATTGGTTCTTGCTTGGAACTGAATAATCGTAAAAGACCTTAGAATGTAATTATCTTCTTTTTGGAGATAATACAATTCATTTGTGTGATAAAGGAAGAGACTGATAGAGTATTGTAGCCATTCCCGTTACTCATTCTATGTTATGTTAACTTTGCTCAATACAGGTCTTTGAACATGAATTAGTGAATTGCATCTTAATGCTAGTTGTGTAAGCCGTTCAGAAATTTTGCATAATGATTTTGAGAGATTAGATGTAACATCCTCTTGGGTCGTGGGAGGTTTTCTAGGATATTATGTAATTAATTATGTCATAATTTGGGATTGATAATCGCCAAATAAAAACAAAAATAAGTGAGAAAGGGCAATAACTACATATAAGATTATGAATAAAGTATGTGTAATGACATGAGACAGTGAGGTTACTGCTTAACCTTGAGATTCGTTCTGGTTATGGATACACTGAAGAAATTATCCTTAATTTTCTAGCTTTTAGATGGAGATTATTAAGTGAAAATGATGCTGAATGCAATTCTTGTCGTTTGTGAAAAGTACACTAGCACTGGAACTGAGCTGGATTCTTTTGTCATTTTTTGTTCACTCTTTTACCCCCTTCCCCTTCCTTGTTTCTCTAGAAGTACATATATGATTGTGCTCTTAGTTTTATTCCTGCATTTTTTCAGATATATTCTTTGATTAGAGTAATATTTTTCTTTGAACTTGCTGACATGATGTTTTTTGGGATTGGAAAATTAGGGGCATTTTGAATTAGATACTGTAGGCTTCTCCACTTACTGGAGCAGGCTTATCTGAAATGTATGATTTAGGCTTTTACTGGATCCAGGAGATATATAAGTCCATTGCTATAAACTAGTTTACTTTCAACAAATGTTAGTGGATATCCATTTCATGAATGCTAATGAAAAAAAAGAAGCAAAGAGGTCAAACTAGGCCAAGAAGTTAATGGTTCAGGGTGGAACATGTTAGTGTGGTTCTTGGGCTGAGGTGGACAATTAGTTTGGATTTTTTCTAAAGCTCTTTTATCCAAGAGCTTGTGAGTATAGTACCATGGTTTTAAGGTGTTAAGACTGATGGTTTAGATTTGCCATTGACTACTGAGGTTTATTTGGAACACAATAAGTTACTTTCTAAACTTGTAGACTCTTCTATGGTAATGCCATTCAGAAAAGCATTATGCTGAAACTATTAATTGTAAAGTTTGATTTTGAATTTCTCATGTTCTAGCTATGAACCTTCGAATCAGATAACCAGATTCCCAAACTGCATTTCCTGACATCATCTGAAATGAGGTTTTTCCAGACTAGTAGTTTCATTGTCAATCACTAACAATCTATATGTAAACATTCATTCAATTAATCAGCTGTTAGCCCAGTACTTTGTTTTTATAACTTTAGGATTCACTCCATTTCTGGCAAATGAATAATAGTTCATTTCATTTGTAAATGAACTATGCTACGGGATTCATTTGCAATTGAATTTTCATGTATGATATGCTGTATATAGAATTTAGTTGAATTCAACAGAAAAATGCGTTTGGAATATGGAACAAATGGAGTATTGAATAGTGTTCTTTTTCCTAAAATTGCCTACAAACAATTGAAGCATCCAAGTCTGGTTAATTATGTAGTTCAAGTGGTGTGGAACTTGTTTGCAAATTTTGTCATGCCTCACAAAATTTGATCCTAGCATATTGAATTCCATGGGATAGAGTATATGAAAAAAAAAATCTTTTCCTAATATGAACTTCGAGGAATTCATTTTTTCCAAACAAGGGCTAAGGGTTTTTTTATAGTTTCTGTGTTTTGCTGGATTTGGCTGACTGTAATAATGGGTTCTTATTAGTCCTTAACTTATTTGGATCTTCATACAAACAAGTTCTACTGTGATGATCTATTGTAGAGATAATGAATAAAAAGCAGTGATGGTTTCAGCAATTACACTTTGAATTATATGATTTAATTCAACCCTAAGCATGCAGATCTATGATACATAAAGCATCTTAGATGTGATAGTAATGAAATGTGAAGTTTAGAATCCTGCCTCTTTTCTTTAATGTAACTTCAATGTAATTCTGGCCACATGTCCCTTAAATCAAAATCGAATCAAACAATACTGTTCAGATTACTTGTTGTTTCTGGCCACTCTGCAAACTGCGTTTAAAGCCTGTTGTTTCTGTTGTTTCTTGTGTTTACTTGTCACACTTGTTCATAAATTGTAGTTGTCTGTATGAATTTATAAATATCCGCATCTCAAGTCAACCTCATACCAGTTGTGTAATTATCCTAATCTGCTAGTTGTCCTATTTTAAGAGGCGTTGCTTGAGCACTTGCAGCCAATAGTACGCACATATTCAACTTGGGTAAAGAGACAGGTTCTATTCTTCCAATACTCAAAATAAATAATTAAGAAAAGAGGCTTTTTCTTGAGATTATTGTGCTTTATCTTTATGTTATTTATACTCTCTGGAGCTTTGACATGATCAGTTTCTAAGGTTTTTACGATACGATCATGAATTTGATGAAAAGAATTAGTCTAACTCTTCTCTTTATATGCTTACCATGGTGCTATAGATGTTATGGGACTTTACAGGATGTGTTGCATATAGTAATAAACAAATATACTAATGTAAGCTGGTGATTGAAAGTCTGTAAAGGAACAAGAAGCAATAACTAGGTGAGTTATTTATTTATTTATTTTGTCAAAAAAAGAAAAGATTGTTTCTTTTCTGTGAAGTCAATGAAAGCATGTACTATTGGTAGCTTTGCGAAATTTTCATCCTACTATTGCCATTAAATTAGTGTCATTTCAAAATGATGCAATGCAGAGAGAAAAGTTGGACAGCGAACTTTTATGGTTCACTTGCTTTTGCTTGTATTATAGTTGGGTCTTCAGAAGAAGCAGATACTTTATTCCATCTACATATGAGACTAATTCCAATGCTCTAGCAAGATGGGAAGGAAATCAATAATCATGATTCAGCTCAATATGACTTACCATTTTGTGATCAGATGATTGGATGGTAAGTTCATTGTATTCTCTTTGGATATATCCTTTCTTCTCTTACTATTTTTCTTTTCCTCTTTAC